AAACCCAGATAAACAGCAGGACCGGGATGTACAGAGGGTACAGGAGAGTTGAGGCTGGCAACTGCAGGAGGAGTTATGAAAAGCTTAACGGTGTGATTCACTGCTGGAATTAGGGTGAGAAAATGAGTCTGAGGTTGTTGACAGCCTCCAAAGGACAGGATGGGGAGAGGCATGGAGATGGGGCAGCAGCGGGAGGGACCAGGAGGTGGGCGTCAGGGAGGGTCAAGGATACAACGAAGCAGCCATCAAGCTTTATCTCACGGACATTTGATGCCTATTGCAGAGGCGGTTTCGTGATACTGAGGAGTGTAGTGACTCGTTCAAATGAAGCTCATAAAATTACCACAGTTCAAGAGGGCGATCTCTCTGCACCAAGTAGACAATGAGAGAAGGTGCACTGGGTGTGCAGAGCAGGGACATGTGTCTGCCAGGGTCCCTCGTCACCCTTCTCTGAACCTGACCTCGTGGGCCTTATTCAGGGCAGGTACGCTGGGGGTGCTCCCGATTCATTCTTTCATTAGTAAGCACTGTTGGTACGTTATATAATCATGTGTGTGATGGGCTTAGCACAGGGCTGGGCCTGTGGGAAGGGCTCAGTGACCACTGACTATTATGGTCCCTAAAGACCCTGACAGGAATTGGACACTAGAACAAATTCTCAGCAGGTTGACTTGCAAACTTTAACTTTCCAAGTTGGAGCTCAGCATTTTAGGCTCCAGATAAATCATTTATCTCTAGAGAAAGAGTACAGAAAAGCCCAAGACCCAACCCAGCAGAACCTTTTCTGTTTCCACTACGCTTAATTCAAGATGGCCTACAAGACAAAATCCAATGTGGGACCACAGGCATCCAACCAGGAGTTTGTCTTTACGATCTACAAGAGCTGGGCAAAGAGAAAAGGGGTCCTTGTTTTGGGAACAAAGATAGTAAACTAGCTTAGGGTTAAAGGCTCTGCCTTCAGGACAGACAACTGGTTCTGCCTCCTACCAGTTGGTGACCTTGAACAAGTTATTTTGCCTCTAATGTCAGTTTTCTCATCCGTAAAGTAGAAGGAATAGAACCCCACACATCAGGGTTCTTCTGATGATTTAATAAACTAAGTGAGCCAATGTGCGCCATGCATGTGGCATGTGTGTGGCATATCAGTGCCCTTGGTAAACAGCCGTTCTTGCGCTCTGTCATGTGCCCGAGGTCACAGACCGAGCACATGGGAGAGCCAAGATGACCCCTGGATCTACTTCTTGTGCGTTCTCACTAGTTGCCTGGGAATGGGAAAATCACCCTCTTCTGCTTCCTCGCCATCTTGTCAAGAGGACGGGGGAACTAGCAGAAAGGTCAAGACGAGAAAAGGAAACTCATGAAAGAATAATGCTACACATTGGGGGTGCTGGGGCAGCAGTCATCACACCTGCTCTTAAAAGAGTCAACGCAGCAGGAGACTGTGAACGTGAGAAGACACCCTGGACCATGAAATACCGTCTGACTCACATGCTCTCCATGGGAGCTGATGGGTATTAACATGATTACTTCAGAGCAGGTGTGACAAAACTAATCTTATCCTGATTATTACAGCTATAGTTACTGAGACTGTTTCAGCCAAGGGCTGCCACATTCCTGTCACTCAGAGTTTCCTCGCCCGAGCCAGTGAATGCTCAGCATGATCTGAAAATCTATTTCCTTCTTACCCTATGCCAAGGGTCGTGTGATATATGTACATATCGAGAAATAATTACTACAATAGGTTAGTTAACACATCCGTTTCCTCACATAGCTATAATTGTGTGTGTTTGTGTGTGTGTTTGTTTTTGTGTGTGTGTAAGTGAGAGAGAGAGAGAGAGAGAGAGATAGAGAGAGAGAGAGAGAGAGAGAGAGAGAGAAGGGAATTTGTTAGGGTATGAATGGAGTGTGAAGTGAAAGAATAATTTATTACACACTCAACAAATATTAATTGCCTAATAGGTGCTGAGCACTGTTTAAGGTGCTGGGAAAATGGATGGTTCCGGCCCTCATGAAGCTTACACTCTTTAAGGAATTGTCTTGGTAGATATATTCAGAGCTTCCTTCCTTCCCCTCCTTCCTTCCATCTTCCTACCCTCCCTCCTTCCTTCCATTTTTTCTTCCTCCCCTCGTCTACTCATTTAATAAATACTCAAGCCAAACTGCATCCTAGCTTGGCTACTTGTTAGCTATGGCAAACTTGGGCAAATTTCTTAACCTCTAATTCTCTCTTTTCTAAAATATAAACAAGAATAGGACACACCTGCACAATAAGCTCTATAGCTATGCAAGGGCCTGGCTCTGAGAAATAACCAGGAACCCGAATTCAAGAATAGTCCACACACAGCCTGTTAGCCTGGGAGGCCAAGGATGATGGATGAGGCTTTTGCCCAGGTCTGAATGGGCTGTGATCTCTACCCTGGCCATCTCAGAGTCCATCATGCACCTCTGAGATTGACGAGGTGGGTGGACCTCAGGGTGAGGCTTCATTCTGTACTAAGCTGGGCCTGGGGGAGCTGTCATCATCATCTACTGCTGTCTGCAGGCCGCTGGTGAGGCTCCTGGGGGCCTAGAAGCTGTCTCCTTCCATGGAACATGTCTCTGAGCCCCACTCTGTATCCTGACTACACTGACATCCTTCTGTATCCTTTGCATAATTTTATTTATTCCAGTGTTTACTGTTGGCATTTTCCCCTAAGTGGTCAGACTCATGGCGTGACAAGAAAATTCAGGGAGGTCACAAGTCAAGAGCTTAGTGAAGTGCCTGGCCAAGAGCTAGAGCTAACATGTTGCATATCCTTGTCAATGAGCACTTGCTACGTGCCAGATGCTGGGGATAATGCATGCATGCGCGTATGCACACACACCCGCACGAGATGCAAAGGTCGGTGCATGCAAAGAGACAGCCTTTGTTCCTGTGGCAGAAAAAGCAACCTCTGGCCCCTCTCGAGCCCACAGTCTTCTGTACCTTAAAGCAGAACTCATGTTCTCTGTCTTCCTTCCTTTTAAAACACAGGGAGGGTATTGTAAATGCCACTGATGTGTTCTTAATGTTAGAAACAAGCTATGGATAAGAACAGTAGCTTAATAATAGTTTTAGAACTGAATATAGTAAGTGCTATACCCTTTGAGAACACAGAAAGTGAAAATCGCAAATAGAAAAATAGAAAACGGATGCAAAAGTAAGACCCAGGTACTAATTTAATCATCTTTTATAAGGGGGAGTTAGTACATCTGACTCATGTCCATATGTTAAGACACGGAAGAATAGCCGTAAAACTATCCACCAGAATTAATCAAAATTCATACTATTAACGTAAGCCATTTCCACAAATTAGAATGAAAGACAGAATGGCGGAGGAAGACTTTTGATTCTCATGTATATAGTGGATGTTATTTATAAACCGCGATAATCCCAAGCGTTCTTGTTGCCACTAATCTCTTAGTTATTCCATGTCTTTCACCAAAACTTTGAGAGTTGGCTTTCCCATGTCACCTGACTCCATCCATAAAGAGCAGCATGGAGATTTTGGCATTCCCCGGATCCGATGCTGAGGCGTCGCTGTTTTTGTCTGCTCACTTATGTGGGAGGACTGTACCTATTCCTTGTACCCAATATGCAGTGAGCCCTAAGTCTCTATGTCTGGGGCAGTGGCTTCCCCTACACTTCACACTCAGACACAGAACTTCCTGCCGCTCCTCTCAACCTGGGTAACCCTCAGACATCTCAAAGTCATCTGGTCCAATCCTGAGCTGATGCTTCTCCCACAAAACTAATCCTTGGAGTTCTTTTGAAAAACAAAAACAAAATAAAACAAAAAAACATGGGGAGGGAGGGATTGCCTCCAAACACTCCCATTTTAGTCTATCTGATTCCCAGGTCAACAGGAGAACGTTTCTTATCTGTAAAGTGGGGATGTTCTAGAACCTTCCTCTAAGGGCTCCTGTGAGAAGGGACTGTGCATGTGCTTTTAGCACAGGGTCCATCCAGCCCATGCAGAAAGCTGCACACAGGGCAGCTGTTAATATTGCAGTCCATCTCCTGGGGCGAGAAAGAAGGTCATGCGTACAATGTCGTCACGAGAATAGGGGTTCTGAAAGCAGGAAGAGCAAGATCTGAACCCTAACTCACCTGTTTAGTAGCTGGGAGGCCCTGAGCTTGCCTATCTGTGTTATCTGAGCTTCTCTGAGCCTCCGGCTCCTCATCTGCATAATGGGATTATCCCAGGACCAGCCTATGGAGTTAAGAGAGTAGGTGAAAGGTGCCTAGCTACTCCCAGAAGGTGGGATGTTGCTGCTTCTTAGAGTGGAGGAGTTTTTTTCGGGCGCTGACAGGCAGTGT